CAGCCTGCTCTGGACATTCCGAATAATCCGGGGCCACAGTTCCTCACTGAAATTGGAGGAGTTCAAATTAGCCACACTACTCACCTGCGTGGCCGTTTTACAAGGTCACAAACGAACGCACTCGATTAGACCTCCGAAAATATTTCTTTGGTCAACGCGTGGTCCGGAAACGCACTCGATTAGACCTCCGAAAATATTTCTTCAGTCAACGCGTAGTCCGGCCTTGGAACTTGCTACCAAGCGAGACGGTGTCCGCTGACACAATACGGAGTTTAAAAGAAGACTCGATGTCATTCTATTTGACAAAAGGCGACTTTTACCACACGATTTCCTACTGCCAGCATTGTAAACAATTCTTTCTGACTCTAGACTGTTTTCATTCTGTTCCGTGAAAATTCACCTCGAAATTCTGTCATGGTATCATATGTCCTCCACCAACTGCACATTAACTGTAAGTATAACACTGTTCGGCTTACATTAATAGGGTCCTCAAGAGCATTTCTTGCCTGTAACCCTTAAATATACATATACATACATATACAAAAGAGTTCTAGTTTCACCACAGCAGCAGAACTCCCTCTATACTCGTTGACTGTTCAACGCTTTCGTTACGTATAACTTCGTTTACGACTTTATTCGTATAACCTTTTTACTAGACTTAAAATCAGAAAGGGTTTGCCTGTTCAGTGCGTTTTCTCTAGAGTATAACATTCTTCATCGTAAAAGCGCTCAGAGTCAGGTAACGTGACTTGCCAAAACCTTCTGCAACCTGTCAGCTGCAGCAAAACTTTCATCGGGCAACCCAATTAACCTCAAGAATGACCATATCCGTCCTGTTCTTATAACAACCGTCCTGAAAGAGGATTATTCTTTTAACCCAGCTGAAACAGCTGACGCAAAACTGTTCTTTTCGGGTTCGCATACCTCCAGTAAAATTTGTTTTCCGGTATGAGAGTTGTGAATCCCAGAACATGTCAATAGAGAACACTAGACTAGACTAGACAGTCTGGCCCTAGACTGTTTTCATACTGTTCCATGAAAATTCATTCTAAATTCTGTCATGGTATCATATGTCTGTTAGGACGGCCTAACAACAGCCTTCGCAAGCAGTAATTTGCAAACCATACCCGCGTCCACAATAGGTTATCGATCGACCTATGCACGAGCGAACGGACAGAAAGGCCGCCAAATCGAATCAGCTAATGACAATACTGATGTTCCCTTTGATCACATCGGACAGAAATTCCGCCAAATCGAATCAGCTAGCGAAAAAACTGATGTCGACGATTCCAACTCCTGCCGAGGTACACAAGGAGGAGAAAAAGGAGGAGAAGGAACCAGGAGTGGAAGCGCCAGCGGCTTCCGAGCCCCGTCAGATACCTGGTCGGTT